TTTCTTTGTCAACAAAAAAATATCTGTTTAACAGATTATTTATATTTTACATGACAAAAGTTTTGATGAAAAGTATTTCCTAGCTGGTTGATAACATCTATGTTTTTTCTATCCAGAATAAATAAGTACTAAGTATATAGAAAGCACATTAGTTTAAGAATCGAAGACCTCGAAAATGAATTGGTTAGAGCTGATCAGTTGATTGTGTAAGCGAGGAAATTAAAGCTTTATTTATTTCAAATACAAAAAATGGAATTCTTATTTTTGTGAAATATTTTACTGATGCCAAAATCGTGTTTTGACTATCAAACTACAATACAACCATTGTATAAAGATGGCTGTAGTTAATATTTTGACCCATACATATTTTTATCTATTCCAAGTCTTTATTGTAGGGAGCGAAGTAGTCGAATGCATCGACAAATTCGCTTTTCCTGGTAGTTTGATCGACCCTAATGGGCTGGTGTCCGACGAAATCTCTTCAGATTCAAAGATCTCGTTTGGCTTTTACCAACTTATGTCACCTATGGCGAAGGCGAGATATCCGTCTATCAATTAAGGGATGAGTATACTGTGCGGCAGTTCGTTCTGTTCTACTTCGCGGCTGCGATATGTGGCCAATAAGAGTAGAAGATAATCGTAAGTTACTAGTGTAGGTGTATACACTCTTTGTCTTCCGTTAAACCGTAAGATTAAAATTACTTCATATCTTTCTTTCTACGAACTAATTCTTTCTTCCTGTATCATATCGTTATGTGCAAACTTTCTTTTATACATCACTATCATTGAAGTAATTACTTCTATGAATTTGGTGTTTATCTTGTTGTGCTAACGAGGTATGGGAATTTGAACCGATGTATATATGTGCCTAGTTCTATGTTGCAGATGACTGATTGACTGAAACCTTTGCTCACATGTATAGGTTGTTCGTACAAATTAAGACAACTTTTTTCGGTACTAAATGTGTCTTATTCTTGTAAATTTTCTCAGAGTATGAAAGTGAAATTGTAAACCAATAGATTCTACTTGAAGGAAGATAGTTATTGATAACCATAACAATGTCAGACCAAACCAATTATGCAAGTATTAATTAAGCTTTAATAATTTTTCAAACCCCGCCTGCAGCTCATCTAGGGTTACTGACGGCGCAAAGCTTGGGTAAAAAAGGAGCGTTGGACATGGGGTCAGCAACCCTATCCCGTAGGAAATGAACTTGTCAAAGAAACGCCAACCAGAAAAGATAATTTAAACTTTGCCCTTCGAGTTGAATGATCTTCATCTTTTAACAACCAGAACAACAATTATTATGGGTAAATGGAACGTCCGGACAATGTGGAATACTTAGAGAACCACTCAAATAGCTGCAGAAATGAAGAAATACAACTTGGTGGTGCTCGGAGTCAGCGAAAGTCATTAGTTTTAAGCTGAGCAGAAAATAATAGACTCGGGAGAGATTCTGTTGCACTTGGGTCACAAGGAAGAAAATGCTGCACATACTCAGGGAGTTACTCTGATGCTGTCCAAAGAAGCACATGAGGCGTTTGTAGAATGGGAATCTTATGGATCTAGTTTCATTTAAGCATCTTTCAAGACAAAGAGGGAGAGGATCACAATGAATATTATCCAGTGTTATGCACCCACCAATGATAACAACGATGGCGATAAAGATCAGTCTTATGAGAGTTTGCAATCGATCATCCCAAAATGCCTAGGAAAGGACCTGACAATCCTGATGGGAGGTCTAAACGCCAAAGTTGGAATGAACAACACTGGGTATGAAAATATCATCGGACGACATGGACTAGGATAAAAGAAACGAAACTGGTGAGAGATTTGCAAATTGATGTACATTTAACAAAATGGTTATATGTGGCGCTACATTCCTCCATAAACACATGTATATAGCTACATGGGTCTCACTGGATCACACTACAGAGAACCACATCGTTCATATGTTCATCACTAAAAATTTCAGAAGGTCAACGCAAGATGTGAGAACTAGGAGACGAATTGACATATCTTCAGGTCACCACCTGGTGGTTGCCAAGATGAAACTTGAGCTAAAGGAACACTGGAAAACTGGGGAAATAGCAGTACAAAGGTTCAAACATCCCTCCTTCGATATACTGAGAAACTCAACGAATTCAAGATAGTTCTCAAAGACAGATTTCAAGCCTTACAAAATCTACTGGAAGACGAGCAAGCTATCATGGAGGACAACTGCAAAATGATCAAAGAAATATTGACTTCAATGTGTGAAGAGGTCCTGAGCCCTAACAAGCATTATCATTATGAATGGATCTCTATCAAAAACCTGCACAAGATTCAAGAAGACAGTAATTAACAACAGCCGAACAAGAACAGAGAAACTCAAGGTACAAGCTGAATACACAGAAGCAAACAAGCAAGCGAAGAGGAAAGTATTAGAGCTTACAAGCAGAAATACGAGGGAGAGATAGCAACGACGGCGGAAAAAGCTGCAAGAGAAGGAAATATGAGACAACTATGTAACACAACGAAGATACCAACAGGGAAATATGGTAATTTTGTGACGCTGGAATATCTGACTCCAGTTAGATCAGATGAATGATTGTTATTGAAATATACATAACGTCAATCTTCGTATATAATTATCGACTTGATCCACGTTAGTGAATAACGGAATTTAATAAGCCATATGCGAGAATGAGGTTTGAATGTGTATATTTTGTACACTCATTGAGTTGTACAGACTAAGCGAAGTGAAATGACATGCGGTGGAGAAGTCGAGTGAGCCAACTCGATTTAACCAAGCGTGAATCGATATTTATAGTCGAACAAAAACAAGTTACAGATATGTGACGAATAGGATAAGAAGTACACACGCATAGGCCCATATAAAAACAGTCAAGGTTGATAGGCGAATAATTAACAAAGTAAAATGTGACTTGAGAAGAATGAATAGACTGACCTGTCCGAAAGCTAGAATAAGCTATGTGGGCTTAGAATAGCAACCTACACTACTGTAAACCAGAGAGATCAGTTAAGGACAAAAGCAATCCAATCAATGAAATTCAAGAACAGAGGAACAGACGAGTAGAACATTTTGAAGAACCAATGAATAGATCAGCATCACTGAACCCACCAGATATCAAAGCAGCACACACAGATCTTCCAATAGATGTCAATCCATCAACGACGGAAGAAATCAGGATGGCCATCTGACAAATGAAAAGTGAGAAAGCAGCAGGACGTGACAATATATTAGCTGAAGCACAATCTTAGGAATAGGTCTATTATTAGAGCAGTACTAATAAGGAAGTAGACCATAAAACTAAAATTGTATATTTTTTATATACCAATGAGCGGAAAAACTGTATTTCTGACGTTTCGTGACTTAATGTAAGCCACTTATTCAGAGCATATTGTTTATCGAATCCAAAAATACAATTTTTCTACTGATTGTGATATGACGAAAACCATATTTATTATTAAATTTCTACCCAATACTCAATTTATTTGAATCTATCAAGTACAACCTTGACATACTACAGATCATGGTTGAACAATCAATTGAATGGAACTCATCACTATACAGCAACATCCTTGACTACGAGAATGCATTTGACAGTGTGGATAGGAGAGCATTGCAAAACCATCTTCGACAGATTATACTGAAAAGTCGTGGATGGAGGACAGCCGACAGATGCATTCCAAGAGAGGACCGAAGTCAGACAAGGCTGCTTACTCTCACTCTTTCTCTTTCTTCTGTTGGTTGGCTGTATTGTGAAGACCTTCACATGTGAAGGAGAGCACGCAATATAATGGACAGTTTGGCTGCAACTAGATGATTTGAAATTCGCAGATTGCCTAGCTCTTCCATCCTATACACATCAACAAATTCAGATGAAGGCAACTAGTGTAGCAGCTGTCTCTGTAGCGGTAGGTCCCAACATACAAATCGCATGAACACATATCCTCAAACACAACACGGAGAACACCAACCAAACCAATGACACTTGATGGAGAAGCTCTGAGAAATGTGGAAACGTTCACGTACCTGATCAGCATCATCGATGAACAAGTCGGATTCGATGCAGATATGAATGTATAGGTTGGTGGAGAACGTGTGGCGTTGGTACAATTGAAGAACATATGGAACTCAAAACGACTGTCAACCAATATCAAAGTCAGGATCTTCAACACGAACGTCAAGACAGTTGTGGTGTATGGAGCTGAACGTGGAGAACTACTACAACCATCATCAAATAGGTCGAAGCATTTATAAACAGTTGTCTACACAAGATACTCAATGTCCGTTTACTGGATACCGGTCTAAACAACGTACTGTGAGGAGAACAAACCAGCTTCGAGCTGAAGAGGAAATTGGGGAAAGACTCTGAGAGTGGATGGGGTATATATTACATAAATTATCAAGTAGCATCATGTGGCAAGCCCTAACATGGCGTTGTGAAGGGAAAGGGAAAGAGAGTGACCAACGATCACGTTGTGTTGGGAATTGGAGGCAGATATGAAAAGAATGAATAGGAATTGGAAACAACTTGGGAGGAGAGCTGAAGACAGAATTGGTTGTTGGATTCTAGTGTTCAGTCTATGCTCCACTTCGAGAGGTAACCGGCTTACGTATGTGAGATATTTTTTTTTAAATTGTTAAGGAAAAATAATCCTAATGCCTTTATCTACAATTTATTAACAAATGGCTTTATTCAACAGATTTGATTTTCTGGTGTCTACTGAAAATCTAATTTCTCATTGCTTCTTATTGTGATTTGATTTTTGATAGTTCAACAACCCACTGAAGCTCAATATTCACGTCAAAACATTAAATGACTGAAAAATTCAGTAAAAATTTAATTGTGCATGTGTTAACCACATTAAACAAATACGTGGGCTCGTTATATATCAAAGGGGTCTTCTTATGTCAACACCAATAATAATTAACGACCTTGACCAATCTAAAGTGTATTGGATGGGTAGGAATTTATTATCATTCCTTATTCATCAAGTCTATCTATCAAATGACATCGCAAACCCTAAGACTGAATCATTAGTTAGGAGAAAAGTTTTATTTAGTCACTGGGCTCAGTATGCGTTTATCCAACAGTTACGTTTATATGACTTTGTCCATCATGAAATATATGATTTACAAGTAACTTACTCTATACAATGTCCATTTGGAATATTTATTTTATACGGGATTTAGGATTTTACTGCTTTTGTTTTTATGGATTTTATTACTTCACACTGGTTTTGTCATACAGCTTTTCGGAACAACCTATTTTCAGACAATTTACAGTAACGAATATAAGTCAAGAATTGAAAAATTCTGTTGATAAAATTTTAAAGCCGAATTTCCCCAATGAGTATAATTTGTTCCATTGGACTACGGTGGCAGGATTTAAAGAAATTGTTAATAACACTCGTGTAGTATGGTTAATTTTTGGTGGATCAATTGATAGGATAAATTCAAGTTCAGTGAATCCATTTACAAAGAAAGCAGTCGGGGTTATTGCTTGTCGGTTAACTTACAAATCTGAGTATGCATTATGGCTACGTTTAGATGAATGTTCTCCAATGGAAGTTAAAAACATATCAAATCAAGAAAACGAGCATGATCCAAAACATCATGATGGCACTACCCTTTTAGGAGTGAGCCTTGGTAGTCTTGAGTTCGAAAAACCCATTAATGGAGCAGTTATTGTTTATTGTGATCCTCTTTGGCATACTGGTGAAAGGAAATATAGAAGTCAGTCTGTAGTGGACATGAAATATCAAGAACAAGCTGGTGGTAGATGCCATATTCGTTTAAGACACAAGGGTCAATGGATACGTCAAAGGAAAACAAACCAAATGGAAGACATCATTCAATTTTGTACTAACTCAGGTTATTCACAACCGTGTGGTGGAGGATTTTCATTCGATTTACAACAAACAACAACTCGTAGTTATCAAAATTACTATGATCATCTCAATTCACAGTTACCAAATATTCGACTTCTTACCAGTTTGTTTTTAGCCAATCCAGGTGAAGTACACATTTTAGATGACATATTAATGAATTTTAAAAACATTCCTGATCAACAGCAAGCTGAATTTACTGTTCACAGAATTCTAGGTAATCATGTACAATTTAGTCAACAAGTTAAATGGACACCACTTTCCAAGTCTTGGAAACATCATTTCAATTTAGAAGATAATAAATCCATTTCAGGAGGCGATGTATGGATGCATGAAAACTTAGCTATAGTTTCTTCATTAAGCAATTCCTACGGACCAAATATAAAAGCTTTCAACCCCAAGTCTACAGAACCAGAGGGCTTGTTGGTTTACAGTATCATAAATGAAAATCGGAGCAATGCCGAATCATCTGGTGATTTTACTGGCTTCGGTTTCACCGTAGAAACAGTAAATATTCCGCAACACTCAAAAGATAAAAGTGTTTCACGAACTAACTATGGTATTTTAATTGGAGCCCCGTTTGAGAGTTCTACGAAACAATACAATCCTAATCATGGAAGAGTGTATATCGTATGTCCAGAAAAACGTATTACCCATAAAACTAGCTTATTTTTCGTAGAAGGGACTCGAAAAAATGAGTTTTTTGGATATTCCATAGCTCGTCTAGGTGATATTGACGGAGATGGGATTGATGATGTGGCTATTAGTGCTCCAGCAATACAATCAAAGAAAATGGAATCACCTAATCGAAATTTAAATATTTCATTATATAGTGGTCGTGTTTATATTTATCGAGTTACATCACAGTGTACACTGGATCTACAACCTTTACAGGTAAAAACCCATGTAAATTTACAATTCAGAAATATTATGATAATTTCATTTCAGTTTATAAATTCCTCAAGCTTTATATTGTAAGTAATCTCTATTTGTTTAAATTATTAATGATTACTTCTGATGAATGTAAGGTACAAATGACCTATGAAGTGATTTACTCTGTGATAGGTTGATTTTGTAATAAATGGATGATTATAATTCCATTTTCAAACGCTCTATGAACACATCAGGACATAGAACAAATGTCTATCCATTCAACTTGAAGTTTAAATCAACTTAATCGAATCTCTTATTCAGAGAGTTTGGGTAATGAATAATTTATTGTAGGAATAAGTTGAGTACATCACACTGCCACTGGATAGTAAAGCATGTTTTGTTCAACTTTTAGTGATAAATAACAAAACTTTTATGAACCACTGTAATTTTAACTTATGGTTGCTAGTAAAGCATATATTAATCTGTTGACGAATTCATTAGGATTAACGTTTAAAGCATATTCTTTACATAACTTTTCTTCAGGAATGACGTAGACTGCTTTTTTGGTACTTTCTAGATTATAGAATCTCCTAATCTAGAAATTGGTGATGGTTTTGGATTCGGGATATCAAGAGGTTTTGATGCCGATGGAGATGGTTGGCCAGAATTCGCTGTTACTTCGCTTAAACTTAATACTGTACCATATTTATTTACAATGCCTAAATTATTGAAATCACAATGTCGAGTAAATATTCCACCATTATATTCAATGTTACACTTCAAAAAGGGGACAACAATACCATTTGAAATAAATGTACGCCTGTATGACCTACATTTGAGACAATATATTAACATTCCGGAAGGATTAATTTCTACTAAAATACGTCATCATGAAGTGAATCCAGATGTACTATGGAATGACTATTTATATTCAAACAGTACCACTCAAACTTTCTCATCTGATTTTTTAGTAAAACAAAGCGTTGAGTTATCAACATTCGATATGTTCACTATTCAACTCAATAAGTTAAAACCCCGATTTCAACTAGGAGATAACAAAATAAGTAATATACACTTGGATTCATCACAGTCATATATAATAATAAAATTCCATTTAATAGCAATGTACGGATTAGAAGAAATGAATTTAAATAGTATACCATTGAAAATCTCATATAAATCTGAATTAAATTTGACTGAATGTAATTTTATGCAAAACTTTAAGAAATGTAATAAACAAGAATACCCTTTAATTGATTGGTCTGAATGTTCTCAGTTAATACAACTGGCCCAACCAGTTTGTATTCCAGCGAATGAATGCAGTTCCGATTTGAGTTTTAAGAACATAAGTTGGAGTTCAATACATTCAGTGATGACTACACAAAGTAATAAAGATTCGTTGACTGTAATTGATAACTCGTTTATAAAAATTATTAAATATGGACATCCAAATGAACAACAACAAGTGATTCGATTGAAATTAATTAATTTGGGTCCAACTAAGTCAACTGGAATTCATATTTTGACTCGCTTTTATAATTGGTACCTAGTAGATGATGAAAACCTGACTTTAACTAACGGTATTCAAGGTAAAATCACTCAGATAAATATCAAGAAGTTGTCAAAAAATGAAACAACTTCAATAAATCTCATTAATTTAACAGACTCAAAAATATGGACTATTAATATAGATGAAAATGGTTTATTTGCACTAATTTCATTATCACCATATTTGTGGATTTATCCCAATGAAATTATACAAATTGATATATATGTGTTTGTTCAAGGTCTGTTGTCACTGCCGACTCTATCAACAGGTCAAAAATTGAAAAATGATACTATGTCATTTAGTTATTCAAATATAAATTATAGATATCCGCCAAAATTTGAAATTCAAGTAACATCAGAAACAAATGATAAACAAAAAGAAAACAATTTAGTAAGTATATCATATAGAATTCTTTATAAACCAATGGTGAATATTTTTGCGGGTATACAACCATCAACTATAATTGATGACAGGTTGGAGCCTTATGTGATTGAACAAAGTAAGAATACGCTTTTTTTTGTGAATGTTGATTAGAACTAATGTTTATAATATTCAGTTAAGTTGTACTTTAGAATAAAGCTTATTTAATTGTCAGAAAGGGGTTTTGTAGAAATTGTAGTCCTAAGTTCGAATCCCGCGAACGGGATCGTAGATGAGTATTGCTGAGTAGTCCCATGCTAGAGCGAAACGGCCATCCAGTGCTTCCAGATTTTCCGAGGTCATCTAGCTTCAACTGACTCATGATCTCAACTATTGAAATTCTATTAATTATAATTTAAGTATAATCATTACTTCTGTAATAATGAAAATATTTAAATCTTGTTGTTCAAGTAAGACAAATGTTTATGGTAACCAATAGAATTTTCAGTTAGATTTTGTTTCTGCCCTAATAAAAAATATAGAAATAAATTTAAACTGAAGATATTTAATCAATCAAGAGGCATTGTACAATGACATAGATTGTGCAATTAAGATCAGATAGTATAACAAGTATGAAAGATAAGAAGGAAAAATCTAACTGAATAACCCATGATACTTAACCAATCAAATATTTATCTTCATTTTTCCTTAACTGCAAATAACAAAACATTTAAACAACCTTTTTAGAATGTAGTAAATATTATTAAGGAGTGTATTCACCTCTTTAAGCATAACAGAAGAGAACTCCATTTTTATGTGCCCGGCTCTTTTTTATTTTGAATGTTGGTAGTCAAACCTTTTTTAGTTAGTGTGATCAAACCTTGATGGTCATACTGTAGGAATAAGAAATTGAAACTAACTAATGACTGGATAGTGATGATAATTGTCATTTTTATTTAGCATCTAGTTCTGATCTACCAAGTTGCATTATGGTCACGAGTTTAAGTGATTTGGTCCCGTAATCACCGTGAATATTTAGGTGGTAACAATTTGACTGAGACATTGGAGCATACAACGTATACTGATCCCTTTTTGACTGGAGATACGTACTCTTAGTAAGTAATAACGTGAAAAGATACCAGATGCTTCTGATTGCATCGAATCGCTTAATATATTTAGGTGACAATGAAAGCTATTAAAAATGTTTAACTAATAATCATTGTGTTGCTTCTTGTGTTCATTTCTGTCTACTATGTAATTTTAGAAAGCCTAACTTGAATGGTTAACATGATGCTAAGCATGAAAGACGGTTTTTTATATTGTCCTAGGCTGAGAACTATACATTTTCATTTTGCTTTATTTTACACTGTTTCACTGAAACTCAACATAATTTCAAAAAATAAACTGTTGACATTATTTAATGATAACAAACAACAACTTGTCTTATTGTTTTCTAGACACAATATCACGTAAAATATTTTCGTATGATATTGGACCACGAATTGAACATACGTTCCTTATTGAAAATCAAGGATGGATAGCTCTTACTAATCTAAGCTTAATCTTACAACTACCATATGAAACAACTAACGGTCATAGATTACTGTATTTAACTGATCAAATTCGTGAAGCATCATACACTAATCAAAGTAAGTTGATTGATTACTTGTATTTTATTGAGGATGTAAGAAAACAATTTATTGCATTATATTCAATGAATAAAAATAATGAAGTAAATATTTTACTTATCTATCTTAATTTTAATAATTATGTAAGCGGTCACCAAGGTCTAGTATCAGTTAGAGAATAGGTGAAAAAACAGAGCCTAAACACGTGATTACTTTTCCTTTACAACCTCAAAATAATAATTCTTATATGACCCAAGTTGAAAGACTTCAGGTCAAGTAGACAGAGTAAAACTATTGAGTAAGCGGTTTACAATTCAGTTGTTATTATTTTTCTCCTTTTGTTAAGTAAGAATATTATGTAACCTCTGTACTATATTGTCGGTTAGTGTTCGTGTTTTGATTTACAATGGTTTATCTCATGTTAAATTCATGTCACTAATTACTTATACTTGAAAACGAAGAACTACTACAATTCCCATGACTCAAAGTATGAACATTGAAGACTGACACAAGTGGAACATGTTGAACAAAAAACCACATTGAGTACTGAAATGTAATTTGTCTTTTGATCCCATCATATGATATCATAAATCAAGATTTTCAACAGAAATTTCAAGGCTGACGAGATTCATTTATGTTTATGAAAAGTTTATCCATTTGAAAGTTATTTTCATCGTCTGGGGATAATTAAGTACTATTGTTTCTCACACATAGTTCCCTTTATTATTTTAAAAAGAGCAAGAACAAAGGTTGGTGCAGAATAATATGAGTTCATAAAATGAATTCATATTATTCTGCACCAACTATTGTTTCTGTTGTAACACTCAGTTTTCCATGTCTACACGAATGGGACATTAATTTGTCTTAGACGAATATCTACACTAGATTCCATCCCAGTGTCTATTCTACAGGACTTCAACATAACTCAGATCAAGAACACGTAATTAACCTGACTAGAACTTAAATATATTTCCACACCAAAAACTGACAACAATCTGACACAATCCAACAACAATCACAATAATAATAAGGACAGGAGAATACATAACTCATCTAACGCCTGTTAGACTATCTACAAATCTGACTAAGCAAACAACCAATCATTATCATCCTCACCTACAGATATATATATATATACTTTCACCAATCAAAATGTCGTGCAACAAACTGCATATGTCCCAATGGATGATGATTATGTCAGTTGTTTGTTTAAACATTTTACACAATGTCTTACGAGGTTAAAATTAGTCGGAACTTCTATCAACATGACTTCGATTAACATATATTGAAAAGACATTCTAAAAGTATTCTTTATAACTCATTTAAATTTTAAAAGGCATAAATTATATTTATCCTACAAGAATGTTGAAAGTCAATTATACGAAATAATTTATTTGTTTTGAAAAGAGATTTCATCAAGGAAGAGAATCAGTGATAATCAGGGATCCTTGGTTTGAGATATCTTAGTAGTGTACGCCCACGATGGTAAACACGTTTGAACTAAACACCTTTAGTCCTATTACTTTGCCAAAATGAGTTTAAACTGTTTGACAAACAGCTAATCGCCTTTAGAATCGTCTTGGCTTCTGGTTTAAAATACTTGAGAAATGTGAAATTAGTTTTTGTTCAAATTTCACTATTTAATAATAAAATTTTCAGGGAATTTCTTAACTTAGTTCCCCAGTATCAATGATTTTATAATGGAATACCTTTATTCATAAACCTATTATATATGTTACTATAACTTACTATCTTACAGCAACTCTGTTGAGGAATATTCTACCAACTATACTCAGTTCCGATGGGAAACAATATGGTACTTGTGAAATACCGAAAAAATTCATTAATCCATTAGAGCTTACACTGATGGATTTCAAATTTATCAGTACGTTTAAAATAATGGATTTTCTTTTATATCCATTATATTATTGAAACTATTTAAATATGTAAATATCAGATTAATGTAAAGATTCTGTTACAGAATAGATATAATAACCTCTAATCTATTACACTCACTTGATTGTAGATAAATAAATAGTACTATTAAACCATATTTAATAATAATTCATTATATTAAGCTTTATTTAGTTAGTTAGTCATCTAACTGATCAAATTAAGTGATAAATTAAAACAAATGTAGATTGAATAAAGTGCTTATCTGAAGGTTCCAAACAATTCAAAGATAATTTCATTCACCCTGAGATTTAAAAACAAACATACAACGGACATTGATTAGTTGTATTTTCTTTGAGATTTATGAGTAGTGAGGTTTTAACTTCTCTAGAAAGTGAATCCATAAACTTTAAGTTTCACAAGAATTAATGAGTTGAAGCCTAGTGTTACAAAGTTTCTTTTTCAATCAAGTTATGATTTAGTACAATCCTCATTCAATGTTACTAGTTAGTAGAATAAAATATACTTGGAGTACGACAGTAAATACAAGCATTCTAGTCAGTCGGTTTCTAAAACACTGAAGTCTATCAATTTGCAAATTTACTATTGCATAATAAAAGCTTAAAGTCTAATCACTGATACAAGTTTGACTTTTTATGACTGATTTTGATGCATGGAGGATAAGTACTGAAATTTTTAAAACCTGGGTTAGAATTAGAAAACGTTTTTGAAAAAAACAAGGAATCAGTTTATTTATACATTAAATATTGAAACCCATACTTTAGACATATCACATCATCATAATATACTAGGTGGTTTAATGTGTTCAGTAGTTATTATGATCATTTTCAAATTATTCCACAGAACAGTTTTTCTAATAGAATATAAATACTTGTTTACTTTTATGCTATTCGAACCCTGGATATTAAATACAAGGGTGACACCTATGAAGTTAGACTAATACTATTGAAATAAATAATAATTTTGACTATACAGAAAAACAAAAGGTTTTCAGAAAGAATCTGATCGGTGAATCAAGTAAAATCTATTCTACCGTTAATTGAAAATCTCAGCTCAAGTTGGTAAGCAAAACCATGTTAGGATCAAATTAACATAATCAAGCTAAGCAAAAATATAACACTTGTTGATGGTTAAAACTTTGACCATATTTCTATTCGTATAATCGATAAAACATAATGTTGACATCTTTTGATATTCGTGTGTGACTTGGTTTCTCTGAATAAGGTTATGTTAAATTCCACTGGCAATTAATAGTTGAATATGAATATAGAAGTGATTAATGAAAATTTGATGAAATAAAATGTTCAGTTACTGTTCTTCCCAAGGGCACTGTGTGCATGATGTTTTTCGTTTATAGATTATTATAATAGTTATTACCAAAATGGTTTTAATAAAACGAAGTTTCATGAGCCTCCATGATTGTATTGTAACATAGAGTTGTCTCTGTTTATATCAAAGCAAGGTAAAATAACATTGCCTTATTCACATTCATGAAGGGAGCTATTTATACTGGGTCAGGTATTGAAATATATTTTCCTTATAATAAATACATATTCATAACTTATGTTACAATTTAAAATACATCCAGATGATACATTTCAGACAAAACAAGTACAGACATAAGATTGTTGCTTCAAGTATCATCTGGTGTAAAATAGTCTTTCTTTCACAAATAAACAAGTTAAAACTTGTTTATATTTAATCTTATCATTTATTCATTCATTTATTTTCAAATCTATATGTATGGAAATGTTAATTATTCATGTACAATGTACATCTTTATAGCTCAAATAAAGTATGTGTTAAAAAATATGATAATCATTCATTTTACATCTGGTGGTTAATGAGTAATAGTGCAGAGCAAAATTAAACAATCTATTCTCTGATGTTACTGTATATGTTTGGCCGAAATCTCTACAAATACCTTAAAGATGAGTCAGGTTTATGGGCTAATGACGGATTATGTATCATTTCTCCCTTGATATTGATACAAACCAGGTTGTGTGATTTACTTTACTGCATCTACTTTGTCGTTGTTTTCACGATTTCATTGTGATTGTCGACACTCCTATTTATTTAAATTCCATTAATTATGCTACGCTTATAATATTGATATTCTTTGTAGTCATCTAATTTAAGTCTATCTTGGTTTTCTAATAAAAATGGTTGGTTATCTAAGTTTTATTTGTTATAAAAGGTTAATTCATTGTCTTCAGAGTTATATTTTTATTATTCAATGTTTTATATCATTTCTTGGCTAGAACTATGCTTTAACCAATCTTAAATTCTGTTTTATCATGTGAGGTTATACTAATCAATGTGATGATAACCATTGCAATATCTAAGTTTATAGTTCTTCTTATCACAAAGATTATATTTTTAACTCGATTGTTTACATAGTTTTGCAGGGCCATCTATATTCTGAAATCAATCTGGTTATATATAATCATGTTATTTCTTTGAAATATTCCATAAATTGGCAGGATCTGCTTACGTAAATGTTAATACTTTTGATTAAATTGTACTATAATTCTTAAATAATTCTGTTTTGGAAAGTAAATTTTAGGCTTCAATATAAAATGTTAAAAGTTATTTGATGTATAAATATCTCAGTGAGTGCTTGATAAATTAATTGACATGTTTTAAGTTCATAAAGATGAATCTGTAGTACCATTATAGAGTAAAACTGACAGTATATAAATCAAAAGAAATGAGAAATGTCTTTTGTTTAGATCTACATTGTTTTGACGATATAAACCAATAACGATGAACTCATTTACTGTTTGTTTAAAAATATTCCTCTTCTAAGTCTTGTTATTAGTAATGCACTGGATAAAAACGACCATTTTGTTGTAATTGGAAAGGTTTACATTTATGTATATACATATATGTGTATACAGAGAGAGAGAGAGAAAGAGAGAAAGAGAGAGTCATTACATTCTGCCATCACAGTAAATTTTTGCAGGCCTTTCGTTCGATAGCCTAACAAATGATCAAATGTGTAAGATATTTTAACTTCTCAGTGTGGCATTAAATTTTGGTCATCATAAACATTTTACTTGGAACTGAAATGATTATCTATCAGAAAAGTAAAAATAGCACAAAATCTCATTTGACACATTTATGTTTGATCTTTTTTTAGTTTCGAATAGGTTGTATCGCAATATAGTGGACTGATATAGTAACATTGTTGTAGAATATTATGATGTAGAATACTTTGTGGTTAAGTTGTGAGTTAACTTATATATTATAGTAGTATCTTCTTCAGATTTCGTGATTTCAAGCTTATTTTCTGATACCGTTTACGTAAATCTTTCAGCAAGTGCATTTTATGTTTTGGAAAGATATCAACATCTATTAAAGGATATTTTTCAGTAGTACTGAAAATCTAAGAAAATCCACAATATTTCATAAGTTAATAACGGGGTGCAGGGTAAGAAATATCTTCTATTTTTCAAAATCTCAATACATCAACGTATGGCTAGGGTATGACTACGTAGTGAAATGAGCTATCGTAATCCGTTAAGTCTGCTATGTTTTCCTTAAACATCTAGGGTTTAACTAACATCATTCTCAGTTTTGGGTTTTAAAGATTATTGAATTTCATTAAAATTATGAACCGACAAATGCTAAGCCAACATTGAAAACTTGGAAGCACTAGACGACCATTTATCCACATCAGTTCTGGGTCCGAATCCCGTGTGCTGGATCTTGGACACACAGTGCTGAAGAATTCCACACTATGACGAAACAGCCATCCAGGGTTTTCAACAGTAGTCTAACATTAGTCGTTTCATGATTTCAATAATAACATTCTATTTATCACAATAATATTCATTTATGATATCGTACAATCGACTATTCGGTGATGATGTAATTTGAATAAGTTCATAAAATTATAAACTAGTGAATTCCGTTTCCACTAACTGAATCATATTGTTCTTACCGATAGTTTACTAGTATGAGATGAATAATATTAAATAGTCCTTTAATTAGATAAAATTACTATCAAATATTGTCAGATTTGAATTAGTTCCCTATTTCATATAAGTTTATGAAATAAACTATATTATTATATATACATTTGTCATTAAACAATGTCTGATTATATTAAGAATTGAAACATTTAAAGTTTATATTACTTCAATAATGTTTATGTATAATAATAAAATATCACAAAGAAATGTATATAAACAAAGAATATCCGTCTGAATTTATTATTTAAAAAAACAAAAACAAATAAAGGTTCACTGTTTTATCTTATATACTAAAAATTTATTACAAATGTACAATGACATTTAACATATGTACTTTTATGTACTTACAATTTATCAATGCAAACTTTATGATTCTAAGAATTGCTTTGTTTTATTGAAAAATTCTTTTAAAAAAAACCTGAAGTTTATTCTAACTATTATATGATTGTTATAATTATATTGAATGGGTAATGAGTCACACATACGCTTACATAGGCTGGAGACACTGAACAGATATATATCTTTGATAATGTCTGGTATCGGTAACAAATAGGATAATTCACAAAAACCTTTAGTTGATTTTTCAATATAAATACCGTTTCAGTATTACACTAGATAAAACCTAAAATCATTGTTTTGTATCATAATTTGGTTGAAAATGGAAATGTGGATAGGTGAATTATAACGGCGGTCCAGTGCTTCCAGGTTTTTAATGGTGGTTGAACATCAATCGGTTCATGGTCTCAAACAAAACCCTAACAATCTCTACATCCCTTTAACGGATAATTACCATGTGCTCACTAATGACTAGCTTCGTGAGAAAATTCTCGGATTTCTAGTGAGAAGCCGTGACCAGTGGAGCTAATCCGTGTCGGGTAGAAACAGGTATCCACCTCAAAACAATGGAAGATGGTCGCACAAATTCGTGGATTGGTTGAGGTTAGACATTAACACCATTGGATGCCGGCTCAGTGGTTCAGTACGTTAGGCGTTTGCGCGCGAGACTGAAGGCCCTGGGTTTGAATCTGGCGAGCGAGATCGTGGATGTGCACTGCTGAGGACTCCCACAGTAGGACGAAACGGCCGTCCAGTTCTTCCAGGTTTTCAATGGTGGTCTAACATCAATCGGTTCATGATCTTAATCAAAAGCTTAATAACCTCCGAAAACCCCAAACTGATATAACTTAATAGTTTAATGGAATCATATTTTCTAGATCATTTAACAATCCTTGACTTGATATCGTTTCATATGTACAATATCTACTTCTGAAATGTTTCAGACTTGGGAGAAAAAAGGATTTAATCCTTTATGGTTTTAGTAATTCCCTAGATAAGTTAAATTTAAAAAAATGAGTTTCATGTGTTTTTTCGTTATTTTCTAGTAGAAATTATTAATTCACGAACATCTTATTATGTCTGCGGAATGCTTAACTGACTTGTATTGGGTACTGAAGCTTTCAAGTTCAACGATGTTTAGTGAAAACTTAATGACTCTTGGTATGAAGTTATTTAATCCTGTAAAGAAATTAAAATGATACATAGATACACTACTTTTGAAGTAATTTATTTACAGTCAGGTTAGCAGTCACACGTGCAAAAAATGAAACTGAATAGTATTTAACACCAGTTAATCGATCACATACTGTGAACATATATTTAACTTGTCATACAACTAAGAATCTATAACTTATCAAGATGACTAATTGAATAGGTTGTGTAATTACTTTTCATGATGTAGTATCATGTCACAGATGATTACGTAAAATCAACTTCATATCAATCACACCTTGATCGATTCAGTTATCCCTCATTATATCACATTTAATTAGAGAAGCGTTCGAGCGCGAGACCGATAGGTCCTGGGTTAGAACCTCACGGGAAGGGATTGTGGATGTGCACGGCTGAGGAGTCACATAATAAAACGAAACGGCCGTACAGTGCTTCCAGATTTTCCATGGTGGTCCAGCTTTAATTGACTCATGACCTCAACTATTAAAATTACTATAATATCTATAAAACGCCTTCTGATACTAACTAGAGGAGTAACAGTGAAATTTCACTGATAATATCTGCACAAAAGTTTTACGAATACCACTCTATTAATTAAGCATTATGTGTCAATTAATATAATTCAATTTTATCCAAATGTAATAAGTGTTCTCTTAATTGTAGAGGTACTTGTTGGTGAGGTTAACATTATATTCAATTAAGTTCATCTTCGAAACGTACTTTATACTAAACAATCTGAGGCACTCGAAAGGAATCTCTAGACCTAGTTTTAGATATTGTTGATGCTCATTAACTAAACCTACCTGTAACACTGAATAAAATAATTCTTTATCAGGTATTTTAGAGACTCATAAAGAACATGTAGCTCATCACTAGAGAGAATCTTTTCGATAAGCTTTGAGATATTGCCAAAAGGATGCGAGATTTAGTCTTTAACAATCAGAAAACATAATAAAGATATATAATTACAGAATGACATTAAAATGAAATGTCTAATGTTTCATATGATCAATACATGTGATCGGATTCGGCTTACATATTTTGTCATCAGAAGTCATACCATTATTAAACAATTGCACTACATTAACAATAGTTAATAAGAATTTCTTACTAGTTTTCCAATATCTTAAGTGTTCTACAAACATATTTAAAACTAATTCTTTGTAAGTTATATTACATTGTCATTTGCGAGATAAAATTTTAGACATTATTTTTAGCCATAACATCATACCACGTTTAAATGCGTGAAAATGTCTGGTTTTTTAAAATACTAGAAATTTAAGAATTATGAGGTAGTCTGATTGCACTGATGTAATCGTGAATAAATCAATCAATGTATTCAAATATTTATTCAGTAACTAACTTTCATATGATACAGAGCTGTATCTAATGTATAAATAATTATATAAGTATGGTATTATTACATAAGTATGTCCAAAATTTATTATTGTTCTAATAGTTTAATTACTATTCGTTGAATTAAATAACTAATGAAACCAGTTTATAATCAATTAAAATGATATTTGACCATATCGTCAACTCCATTTTCAACACTTCATAATCAAATGTGTAAATGTTAACACATTCAGAATAATTTCGTCCTACATATTAATCATACAAAGTAATGAATAACATCTATTGATGACATACTGATGATGACCGTATATCAATAACCTGAATGAGACGATTTTTGTTACACACTGACCTCCACTGACAAACTATTGAAAACCATAAAACAATGAACTTCCATTTCTGCTTTACTTCGAGAAACTTTATTTGTGTGTACACAGAATCCAGGTTCTATAATAACTCCACTATTCAGTAATTATTATACGATTATTGCATGAAAAGGTTGATTGGAAAATTAAGTAGGCTTAATTGGAGAGATCTATTTGTGGCTACTAGGATATAATTTCAGACTTATTTTATAAATATAGTACTGGTTGAAAATGGGTTAACATTTTTAGATGCTATTTCCAGTTATTTGCAATCAATTTATCAGCCAGTGATTTTTCCAGCATTATTTATGTTTACGACCTACATGACTTTAGCTGGCTGGTTCTGTTCTGATCAAAGTTCTGATGTCTTGGTCAATTACTTTCTTATTTATAAATATGCTACTGAAACATAAATAAGTAGCTCAAAGCAGAACTTTGGAAGTATTGTTTTAAATTTTTGGATCAATCAACTGAATTCGGGTCAGGAAGTAGATTATCAACTTTATCTGGTTAACTAGATGTCATTTCTGGAGTCTGCAAGCGAACTGACAAAATTATCCACAACGAAAGTAAAATTGTGTGAAATTTCTTTGCTTCTCCCTACCATAATTTACTTCGTCAATAATTGTAAGTACGCATATCTATCATTATAAGTTAGTGAATAATATATAAGCTACATTTTAAGATTTGGAAGAAAACTCATTCACGCGGTGAAGATTTTCAATCAGTTCAATTCGTAGACATAAAATAACAAGAATCCTCTCATAACACACAAATTAGTTAGACTAAAATAATTTTTGAAGTACTGGTTCCTACAATTCTGTTACTCTTAAATAGAATTTCGACAATGATTCATTTGTAAGTGTCGTTTGAGTTTTTCCATTGTGAATGTTAAGGACTCCAACTTATCAGTCTCCTTTGACATATATTCATATTGTACCAATTAACTCGACATTACTATTAAATAATAAGCAATAATTTACCTTCTGAACAAGTAATTCGATAACACAATTGGCGTTGGAAACGAAAGGCACCAAATTCGATTCCTAGTATGAATGTCAGCACGAGTATTAAAACACATTTGACTGACAAGTTTTAAATAGAACAAAACATGAGTCCTGGACCCAAATACTGATGGCCATTCAACTCAACGTAAAAATGCCTTCAACAATGATTTTTTTGATTTGTCGTAAGATATTAGAAAGCCTTGTCACAGTTAATTTCTCGACATAAAGCTAGTAAATTTGGTCCCAATATCAGCTAGCCGATATTATCTTTCTTTTGTCTATCAAATCCTGAAATAATTAATAGAACAGAGCAAAATGGAAAGTTCAAAAAATATTTTTATCAGCAAATAACTCGTTAATAAACGAGATTCATTTCTTTCATTTAAATTCTTACTTTGATTTCGCCATTGTTTGCCAAACATAAAGGAGGTTAGAACACTGTATTCAATTAATCATCTGAGCACATTATCTTAAATTCATATAAATAAACATAATATATTTGTAATATCCCAATGAGTAGAAAAATTAGATTTTCTGATGTTTCATGACTTAATGTAAGTCACTTCTTCAGACCTTGGTAATGATACCTATCTTACATTCTATTTTATTTATTTTTACCTGTTGAAATATTTCTAATTTGTAAAAATAACATTTAGTCTCGTATTAACCAATAGAGTTAGAATGCTTCTTAATTCTTTGAAGGAGTACTAAATAAGCAGATACAGTTTTGATTTTATAAAATGGCAATGTATAAAATACTAACAGAAATAAAATATTATCATCATGACATTTTAAAACTTATTTCAACTAATTGATTTTTTTACTTTACATTTACATTTTAGATGAAAAAACACGAAAAGCTGCAAATAATTCGCTTGTCAAATTTACAAAACGTATTAAACGAGATATTGAAAAATCCAATCAAATATCATTATCTTATTCTCAAAATATACAAAAATTTATACCAAATTTAATATCTGATTTACATAATAATATTTTACAACGAACATATAAAAATAGAATCATATTAAATTGTCCACATTTAAGACATTTAACAAAAAATACTGAAACAATAGAAAATAACTATTTAATAAATTGTATCAATATTCAATGTCATATAAAACATTTAAAACATGGAGATACAGTAAGATTAAAATGGACTGGTTGGTTATGGGCTGAAACATTTTTTAAATTAGAAAAATCTGATATACAATATATAAGTAGATTAAACATTGATAATTGGGGTGAATTACCATTAATTATTAAAGCATATCATAATATTGAAAAAAATCTTTCACAGAATAAAAATTATACAATAAATACTGATAATCAATTTATTAATATTAAATATTCATCTGATAATTTTTTAGAACTTAAACAATTAATTATTTTTCATAATGTTCAATTAAAAATAACTCATCAAGTACCATTATGGCCAATTATAACAGGCTCAATTGTTGGTTTATGGATTTTAATGATTTTATGTGCATCATTATATTGTTGTGGATTTTTCACTAGACAAAAAAAATATTCTATATTAAAAACAAGAAATATTTCATTTTGTCATGAAAATATTCATCATAATAAAACGAATCATGTTAATAATAATAAGTTTTTTGACTGGTCATCTTCACAAGATTCATTTATTAAAACTAAAGATAATCATTATCATTTAAAAAGTTCAAATTTAAAACTACCAATACCGATAAATAAGAATCAATTTGAATTTGATAACAATGTTGAAATATATCAATCTAATTTAAATGATAAATTACTTTCAGATGAATATGTTAAAAAGAATAATTTACAAATAACTAATAATGAATATCAACAGAATTTATTTAAAACATTTATAGAACCTAATGAACTGAATGAAAATGATGATTGTTTTAGTTCATTATTAAAACAATCAAAATTTTTATTATCTGAACAACATCAATTACAACAATTAGAAGTTATTGAAGAAGATAAAGAATCATCTAAATCATCAATTTCTCTTAACAACAATTATTAATTTTGAAGATGTGAGAATTTTTTTCTTGATTTTTCAAAAAAAAAAAACAATCATAGGTCTTTAAAATTTAACACTGGCTTTAGTTTTTATGAAAAATAAATAAATAAAAGATTCTAAACACCCCTGTTTTATAGCGCAAGTTTCACATAAATCTATGTTTTAATGTTTTTTACTCACTGAATACTATTCAAACTTTAATGTGTAATATAAATGTTTAAAATAGTAGTTTTATGTTTACAATCTCAACTTTGATGATAAATAACTAACTTACGTTTTCAGTGTAGTAATTTTTATTGGATATATATGGAACGTCAATGTATCTCTAGGAAACTTTTTATAAAATATATATAGTTTCTGATTATTTTATTTGATATTTTATTGTTATATTTTCATCTGATGATGAACATGGGTTTTATTGTTGAACTGAACTATCATGGAAGTTTAATGAGGGTTACTTACAGTGTTCATCTTGGCAACTGTGATTATCGAGGAAATCGATTCCCTAACAAATATACAAACTGGTGAATAGAACAAGACAGAAACTAGCTAACCAAGGACCCTTCAACCATATCTTCTTCATGCTTGATGTCACTCTATACAACCGTCACACATCCAATTAAATGCCTCCATAAAAAGCAATGTTCAATTTTCGAAATGATAGACGATATCAGTTGATATAAATCGACAACTTTTCGCATGTAATCAAATGAGTTCATCAGTAACTCAAATATCCCAGTGATAAGTTACCACTGCTAACAACTTATGAAGTAAAATTATTCTTGTATAGATGAAGGCAGAACCCTAGTAAGCGAAGACCAGCATGATATCTTGGTTATTAGGCTATTTCGTCAGTATAGGGTTGTGGAGATTGTTAAATTTCATTGAGATACCGAATCAATCCAAGTTAAACCACTGAAAGGACATTTTTCCCTGATGTTTGACTCTTTAACAGTGTGCACTCACCACCCTGAACGCAGGAATCGAATCCAGGATCTTCGGTCTCGCAGACGAACGCTTAGCCTCCAGATCACTGATCCAGCATCCAATGGTGTAAATGTTTGATTTCAGTTAGTCCACGACAATATGCAATCATTTTCAATCGTCTCTAGTGGATGACCGACTTACACCATAAACGGTTGAGCTCCATTGGTCATAGCTGCTCACTAGAACTCCAGAAACCTCCTTTCTAAGCTAGTTACTAAAGAACACATGATATAAGATTACTTATACATTACATCAGAAAGTCTGGCATTGAAACGTTTTTTTAATTTAAAAAAATTTTGTTTTATAAATGTTGGCTAGTTGACTGTAATATCTTAGAATTAATGAACTATTCTCACTCAACTGAACAAATCACTAAGTTGTAAGGTAAAGAAAACATACGAGAATAGACGTAAAATTAATAATGTCGGCTACATAAAACATCGGCTCTTCACATAAGCTGTTTAGACAAAAACAATCCTGAGTCTTAGTTTTCTTCAATCTTCCCCTTTGACTAATAAGTATATCCGCCGAAGTTAGCTGGTTATTTATCCTTTCGTCAGAAAATAGAGTAATGTCCCATAGTTAATTAGTAGATAAGTATCACCTTTAGATTTTTCACTATGTTGTTACTTATATATTTCTAATAAATACAATCACAATATATGTTATAAAAGCACGTCAGTTAGTAAAGGTATCAAGGTGTAACTCTTAAGAATACTATCAATCTGTTGAACATGTTCGCTCTTGAAAGTGGAACAGAACCTATGAGTGAAAAATTATATGAAATCATTAACAGAGGGATGAAGAAAGGATAATGATAGATCTAACTTCGTAGGATATCAGGAGTCTTTCTGGGTTAATTAGTATACAGAGAATTTAAATAAATATGGTATAGTTCTATATTTGGTATTAATATCCGTTAGCAGATTGATAGGTTGGGATGAATCTATGAGAAAAATACGGATCTGAACAAACTGATGTGTTATCGAAATCTCCTACATTAGTAAACCACAAAGTTGTGATGAGTTTAATTTTCTCGTTAAACTCTCTGTTGTTGCCGAAGCAATTGTTTTGAACTTAGATACCTGTTAACAGAAAATGGTTTTCGTCAGAAATTTTATGTGCAATCGTCGAATATTAGGGAGCATTGAACAGACGTTTCGTCCCGATGTGGGACTCCTGAGAAGAGCGCAATTGTTGCAGTATTCCAGAATCTCTAATTTTTTACTGAGACAGTTTAATATTTAGACTACTGAGTTGAATTCTACAGTTCAGGCTTCCAACTACAATCGTTTAGCAATACAGCGTGAAACTCAGTCACTCGTGAGTACAAGAGAACTGTTTTGTTTTCAATGGTTCTTCAGTGGACATAAATATGTGACAAAGATCACTTGCAAATTGAATTAGTCTCCGCAAATTATTCGAACAAATAATATCTACAATGGTCGACCAAGTCAATAAAAATATCAACATGGTAGATATTAGCTGGTACAGTACACAGGATAATGAAAAAGGATTACATTAGATTGTTTTTTATAAACAATAATAATTATATTGGAACAGCAGTACCATCACTATTTAAATTAATCTACCCATTGTAAAAGAAAAGTGAAACGGAGGCGGAAATAGTCACATAAGAATGATGTGTGTGTTTCTGTGACATGGAACACACGCATACATATATATTTACATACAGACGATTAACAACAGAAGGTAACCAAACGAAAGATGATTATCATAATATTAATTAAAAATTAAAAGGAGAATGATGAATATGAGGTGATTAATGAAAATAATAATAATAGTAACAATAATAATGATAATAATTATTATTATCATTTAAAAGATTTATTTGTTTTTGTTGGTTTATTTTCTTTCAAGTTTTATGTGAAAGAACTGTTAGTGGTAATGGACAAACATGTTTTTCTTTTTAACACACAGAGAGAAATACAAACATATATGCACACACACACACATCTATTTATTTATTGATTTATGTACACCTGATTTTTAGAAAAAAAATGAGAAAAAGGTTATCTCAATACAAATAAAAAAAAAGAAATAGAGGTTGATAATAATCCTGTCGAAAAATGAACATGACGACTAATGGTTGTAAAAGGTTTGATAAATGTTATAAATATAACTATATACTCTTGACTAAATATATGCACAAATACTGAAAATATATCCAAAATGACACAAATCTCTAAAATATATCTGTTAGATAATTCTATATATAATACACAATATATGAAAGTAAACAGCATATTATATATCAGCTAATTTTGTCTAAAAGAAATTACTTGTATCACTTTGGTACATTACATCATATGTATATATTGAATAATGTAACGAAATATTACGTAAACACACATAGAAACAAATAACTAACATTTTCAATGAACTCAAAAGATTTCTTTTAAAAGAAAAAAGGAGAGTGAAATTAATCATGAAATTACAGTTAATTAAATATTGAAACAACTGATATCATATATTATAAAAATAAATTCCATTAATTATAATTCATTTGAGGTAATGAACATAGAATGTTTTGTTTTAATTTTAAATAATCTATTGTCAATAGTAATAAATTAAAAATAACTATTGAAGAAATTAATTAGGTTAAGGATATATTGTAAAGTGAAATGTAACTATAATACGAATCTATATGCACATATAGTTTAAAGAGCAAATATAGATAGATTGTTTTCATGAATACATTATAATATCAGATATTAGATATTTCTATTTGTAACAGTTCATTTTATTAAAATAAATGCTTAACAACATGGAAGATCGCTGAAAAATATTTGATTGCTGAGTATTTGAACAAGACAGAAATATTATTTACACATGAACATTCATGATAATACTAATGATAAGGATATAAAATGTATTGATTGATTTGTAATATTTGATGATTAGTATTACTTTCGTCATGGTATTGGCTGAGGTGAATTCAACCATACAATAGGTCCAGTATTAGTGAATATGATTTCTTTAACACGGCTATAGGCTGTTTCATAATCATTTGTTGTGATAATTGCTATATAATCAACAGAAAATAGAAATCAAATGAATAAAGATAAGTAAGGAAGGAATACACAAAAGATTAACAGAGATATTTGTAAGTATCAATGGAATGTCACAATTTATACACTCTATGAATAGACTTATCTAGATTATACAGGGATGTTTCTCTGTACACACAGTCGTTCATTTGGTTTCATAATATCAATCATCGAAAGCTTCTGTACTATAGTTTATAATTCACCTAAAACAAACCCTAAACAATCGCCAGAACTTGTTTCACAAAGTCTATGGTTTACTAGTATATGTTGATCATAAATATTCTGTTTTCTTTATTAATACTTCGAGATTGATGTCAAAACTTTCTCATAGTAGACTGATAGTGCCTCAAAATACAATTTTTTATTTGCAAAGTACGTGAATGGTTTAAAGAAATATACTTCATAAAAATTTGAAATACTTATCCCGCATAAATTTCACTCTATGGTAGTCTCATTAAAAAACGCTTGCTGATGGACTCGAACTAAATGTTTTAGCAAAAACATATTCTTTAAATTACTTTTTTTGTTTTAGCTTAATAAAGTGAATATTATGTAACAAATACTGCTGATTAATTCAAAACCGAAATGAATAATTTACATTATATTACATGATGAAGAATAGTCAGTATTCTATGATTTCTTCACAATGAAATTATTATTTTAACTAACCTTTTTAATATTTAAGATACTTACGTGCCAAACTTATAAATCAAAATACATTGTAGGACTTTATTTCGCAACAATTCATAATTGTAAGTGCTATTCTAAAACCTTTTTTTCGTGAAAACTATATACATGATTATATGTTAGTTTCGATCCATAGTATCGTCGTCTTAGTTAAATAATTGACAATTCATCAAGATATACATTACAGAAAACAACGATACATACCTGTCAAAAAAGAGGTAAAATTTTGTAGTAAACGACCAAGTTTACTTTGTAAACTTTTAAAGGCTGCAGATTCAACAGAAGAGCACTTTTTAAGTTTTTTCTGTTTTGTTTGTTCATTTAAAAGCGGAGAACATCCATCATCATCACCATTACGATCACCGACATCATCATTGATATCATTTTTATCGGTCGGTATTGTCTCAGGTAGCACAAGGATAGCGATTGGTGGTAGTCCAGCTGATTCTAAACGTTTTAATGCTGGCCCACCAACATCCAATAAGCAATGCAATCCTAATTCAGACACTTCAAACACAGAATCTAAATGTGTTCCATATAAATTGCCATTGTATTCACCAGCTTCAAGATATTTATGAGCAGCTATATCAGCAACCATTATTTCTCGACTGATCACAAAATGATAATC